TCATCGAACTTACACGAATCTGTCCGTAATTTTGCTCTTCTATCACCAATACGAAAGCAAAACCACCTTGATGTGATGGAAATTTTATTGAGAAATGAAATTTCATTGTGCCTGTAAGAAACAGCGGGTGGTTATAGCAAACATAACTCTTCAATTGGCCTCATACCTTGCGCATGCATTGGATCTTCGCCGAAGAAACGTTAGACGTTTGATCAAAGATCACTAGGCCTGGATATCCTTTGGGTGATCCACTAAAATCATTCACATTACTCGTTGATTTATAATAGAATTTCTGTTACACTATCATAAAGACCATGGAAAATCGGGCGTCATTTATCCACCACATAAACTCACTTTATCCCCAAATTTCCCTTCTGAACTGAAAGTGAATTACGAACTAAAATATGTGACTTCAATCTTATACGGATAACAGCCTAATCAATACCGCAAACGGTGTGTGGTTCTCTTTATCAGATGGTTATTCAAGGTTCTTCAATGTTATACAGGGACAAATGAAAAACGATCCCTTTTGCTGAACAAGAGCTTTCCAATAAAGTGTTAGCAATCATTCGAAAGCTCAAATCTAGAGTTATTACGCTTCGTGCTCCTTATTCGAAAAGACCCTATTATAAAACTGTGGCATTAAAAATAATTTATGTTCCACACGGGCCGCGTGCTTTTACTTTTACTTCGCTGGAAGCACTAAAAGCATATGAACGTATACTGAATATCTTGTGATATCATAGTCGTGCGCTTTATCTGGGAGTTCTTGCGAAGCGGAGAAAAAATCCAAAATTAAGTAACAAAAATTCCACCTCATATGTGTAACGCACCAAGGTGGTCGATCGATCGGTCGCGGAACGCCATATAGAATGTGTGGCCAGCAGACACCCAGCCCACAGACTAGTAGGAAAACTAATGCCTATACGAGAAACTCAATATTATTTTCCCTGCTGCAGTGCATTGAAACGGTCTTTTCAGAAAACAAGCGCAGCACTGGAATCTGCGAAACTTGCGCAAATTACATGGTTACTTATGATTTGGAGAAGGAGTTCTGTCCTGGGGAATATGCGTGTGTGAAACACAAATATTTCTTTCCTGTCACAGTGCTGTCAAAAGGTCTTTTCGAAAAAGGAACGCGTAACGACTAGCCCGGGATTGAAGCTTTCAAATGATTACTAGCAATTCTATGCAAAAATCTCGTTCAGCAAAATAAGTCGTTCCTTAATTTGCCCACGAATAACATAAAAGAACCAGATTTATTGGTTCCAGGGAAACTTCAAGCTTTTTGTATTACTCTGATACTCCATAATTTTCTCTAAAAGCTCATACATTTTTCGTTCATTATATCTTGTGTACGAAAAAAACTCTGCAAGAGAAGCGTAACTTTGTTTCCGCTCTTACAACGCACTGTGATCACCTTTGGAAAACTAAATTTATTTTCGGAATCGTCGAGATTTGGGCTATTAAGAAAGTATTATCAAGCCTAATGAAAAGCGATCCACAGCCTTTAGCCAGGCAAGCAATGCAAACCGAGCGTAAAATTCGATTTCATTTTTGTTGCTACAGCGTAATAAGGCCTTTTCGGAAAATAGGCACAGTCTTTGAATTTTCGAGATCTGAGCTTTCGAGTGACTACTGAGATTTTAGGCAAGAAGCTTTGTCCAGTGAACGATCAACATTCATCGTCCGCAAAGCATCAAGTTCTCGATGATTTCCATGATGAATTCGGTTCTCCAAAAGGTTTTTATAGTGCTTTGTAAGAAATAAAGTCGCGTTTCAGATTCGGAGTTTTCTTCTCACCTAAGAGTTATATGTGCATAAAAAGAGTATGGGCTTGTTGTGAAAATTATCCAGTATCAGAAATGTGCAAGAAAGCTGAAGTCTTTTTTCGAAATGAAGAAAAAAATCATTGAATAATGAAAGTAGCGCACCGCGCGCGAAAATCGATCAATTGCCATCCGGAAGGTGTTGTTCTGTGGAAGAGAGTTCTTGTTAGCGCGTCATTTCAATACTGCTAGATGGTTTGTCGGTTCTTTTCTCAATGACCATTATGTTTGGGGATCTCCACTTGAGCTATTAATACCCTCAAAATAGTTCATACACCATTCTGGCTTCAGTGATGAGGAAAAGCTTCTTCGAACGTTTTCTACACGAATAGTCCGTCATTTAATAGCACATAAGTCACCTCCATTTCAAGGAACAGCTGGAGAGTGAATACTTCCAAAGTGACGAAATGAGGAGAATATTAGCATTGGCACTTATGAAAACACCAAATTTGAAAGCCAGAACTATTTAAAATTGCATGCTTTTGGTATCGTTCAATCACGCAGTTTCTTATGAACATTTTCTTATAGAAATTGCCCATACTTGCTATAAGATGGAGCTGTCCTGGGAAGAAATTCGCTTGCTACTCATGCAAGAATTGCGCGTAGGGGAAAATGCTCGTGAAGAGGCGCGCAAAATTAATAGGGCTTCCTGTAGACAGCCCGATCGCGATTGATTCTCCAAACTGTTCTTTCCCGGTCTGAACTTCGCGGACCTTTCCTAGCCGTCCAATCCGTAATCGTATCATCGCCCCAAGCTCCATTAATCTTACCCATCGCTTCACAACAATTTCCCCTAGGCGCCATTCGTGCATAAGTAGCAAGCGAATTTGTTCCCGCGTCAGCTCCACCTTCAAGCAAGTATAGGCGCTTTGTATACCATAGTTTTCGCAATAAACCGCATAATTGAATGATACCAAAATGACGTAATTATGACTACTTTTGATTATTAATTCGGTGTCTATTGCTCTGGGGCCGAAACTTATGAAACGACCTAATAGTGACTACACGAAAGCGTATATCACGGTAATTTTGAAAATCTGCTGGTTTTCAAAAAGGCCTCTTCACAGTGCTGTAGCAGTGAAGATAAGATTGCGCTTTACACGCGGCGTACGTCATTGCCCTTGTTTTTGTTATTTAATCCCAGATTTTTCCTCCGTTTCATCGAGGTTCTTAGGTTTTTCGTATTTTGATTGTGCAAGAAATACTGCTCTGTGGGATGAGGCTTTCCAATTTCATTTTGTGTACATAAGCTTCCTAGCAACATTGAAAATCTGGGGAGAAAGTTTGTCCAGCGAAATAAGCGCCGAGTGTGAAACATAATTTTATCTTCAGTGCTACAGCGCACTTCAAGGGTCTTTTCATAAACGAAGTACTGCATCGAAATTATCGGGATTTAAGCAATCGAACGACTAGAAAATCTCTTGAAAAAGCTGAAAACACGTTGTCCTCAAAGGGTTTGAAATGATCACCGATAACCGAATAGTACCAATAATGTAGGGGCATGGATGAGGGTCAGATTTGTGTGGAAGAGTTGGATTTGTGTGAACCGTAACCATTTCTTTGAATTCGAATAATTGCTCTTAAGTTTGTAGGCAGATGTGTGATAGCATTTTGGTGATGAAGTGCAAGAACTAAGTTTGACTATGCAACTCCTTCCAAATAATTTACCGGCTTATCGTGGCTGGGAGATATTCCTGGGTGTCGGCTTGCGTAGTACAGTGGGGATTCAAGCCCCAGCAAGGCCACCCAAGCTGAGAAGGAGACCGACATTTCCACTCGAAAAGTTCAGGTAGAAGTAAACTCTACGAGGAATGACTGCCGTCTTGGCAGCTACTAGTCGCAGGGTGGTGATCTTCCTCTGATTCACAGGGGCCGGCAATTCCTCCGATATGGCGACGACCCGTGGAAGTCCCGGCAAGGCTTACCTCGAGATTCCAGGGAACAAAACAGCCAAACCAGCACGGCTTTCTTGTGCTGGGGCTCGCACTACCAGTGAAGGTGGGGCCGTCCAGAAGAAGAAGGAAAAGGAGAAGAAGAAGAAGAGGAAGAAGGACTATAATGTCACTCTAAGCTCAACCAGAGTTCGTCGGAGGCCGAGAAATAATACGCGCTCTAAGGAGAGGATGCTGCGCTCTGTGGAGAACGCGGTCGGATATTCGCGCTCTACGGAGAGAATTGTGCGCTTCGTGGATGATCAGTGATCAGCTGGGTCATTTTTGAGCAGAGCTGTTATCGGTGGTATGTCGTCTCTGTTGTCACCCAGTGCTCGGCTATGTGGCTTCGGTTATAGCTGGGCTGCTTCAGCTCCTTGCCTGCACGAGAATTCACTCTCTTATTAAATCCAGAGTTTCCCAGTAAATGTCCGTTTCGGGGTTTCGTTCGTGACGAACTCTTGCGGCATCAAACGTGGCAAGTTCTTTGCCTAAGCGCTCTTTTAGCGGTCTCATTATTTTGTAAGTATATATATGTATATATGCATGTATATACGTATACATATGTATGTACATGGATATGATTTTATTCGGTTATACGTTGACAAACGAAGAATCGATCTCATTCGCTGGAGAGAAGCTTTTCTTGGGCGTGTTAGTAACCATTCGAAAGCCGAGACTTCAAGCTACAGCCGCACGTCGCCGGTTTTCGAAAAGACCATTTTATAACGCTGTAAAGTTCCCACAAAACTAAATCTCAGGCGCGCACATTTCTCGCCCGACAGAGCTCATTCCATGGACTAACTGCGTTCATTCGATAGCGTAGTTGTTGCTGATTCCAGCGCTTCGGGTATTTCCTGTAGAGATTGTTTTTGTGAAACACAGCTGGTAGAATAAGCTGAATTCGCTTGTCTTTTCAGAATATAAGCACAGCGTTGGAATTAGCAACGATTACGCTATCGAATGACTACAATTAGTCCATGGAGAGAGCTCTGTCCGGCGAGAAACATGCGCGTCTAAGAAATAGATTTGTCTGGAGTTTACAGCCTTAGAAAAGGGTGTTTTGAAACACGGACGACGTGGGGCTGTAGCCTGAAGTCTCGGCTTTCAAGCGTATCCCTAACACTCTCATTAAAAGTTCCTCTCCAGCAAATGAGATCGGTTTTCCGTTTGTCTCCTCTTAACTAATTGGAACCTTATATATACATATCCAGTAACCTCGAATGATAAGTAAAACTCCGGTATTCGGGCGGGAATCGAACCCGCACTTCACCCTTTCCGGTAGCGTGCGCTAATTAATTGCACTACCGAGACTCCTGTTCTATATCACTCTACGATATTGAAGATTTATTCATTAACTGGCTCCAAAGCCGATATGTGCTTGCCAGATATCTAGACCTGTATTGCGGAAAGAGTGCTAGGAAAACAAGAGTTCCGATAGTGCAGATGGTGAACACGCACCTTCGGAAAGAGTGAACTGTGGGTTCGCTTCCCATATGGGGCTGAAAATTTTGCCTATCACTGAACATTATTAGAGACTGATTTATTGTTTTGACATGTCATTGTAATGAGTTTTCTAGTCGTTTTCGTAACTCCTTCGTCGAGGCTTTTATCATTTTATTGGGTCGTTCCATAAATTTTGGCACTGCGGCAACAAACACCAAATTTATGAAACGGAATCTATAAGAACTGTAAGGTTTTGGTGCCATTCAACTGTGTATTTTCTTGCGAAAGTTTTCGTGTACAACCTTCTAATACTTGCTTCGATATGGAGCTGTCGTGGGAACACATTAGCTTGTTCCTCATGCGCGATTGGCGCGTAGGGGAATAGCGAAGTGGCGCACAAGATTAACCCTTCGTGGACCTTCCTTTGTAGAC